CACGAAAAGCATGGTATATGCATTTCTTTATTTAGCCCATACAGCATGCTTATTGCAATTCATAAATACAAAATGTTTTAATACAACAATAACTATAGTGTAAATAATTTTTAAGTATACAGAGCACTAATCAATGGGTACGCTAAATAACTTTGATGTATTATATACTTATAAATATCTAAAACATCTTATCAATTTTCAACATTAAATATTTTGTTGTTTTTCTATATCTCATTGCCTATCTATGTACAAAGCACGTAAATCTACTAAAACAAATACTTGTTAATTGGATACATAATAACAAGTAAAAAATCTAAATTTATTAAATCGCATGAGCATTTCCAAGATGAAATTGACATCTCATTGACACCATTTTCATTGCTTAAGCTATTAAAAATTCTCCCCGACTGACTTACCCAAAAAAAAAACACTATTAAAAATGCTCAATCTTTCATTGGACCTCATTTATATGTCAACAGCTACTTCAATACTTTATCTATGAGAGTGCTATATTCCTTTAAATACTCCTCCAATTTCCTAGTATTATAGTATATCTTTTAATGGCTAAAAATTATATACACGGCATCTTCATTTTTGCATATTCCTCTATAAAATAGAATAATGATGGATATGTACTTAATTTTGCCTATTAATTGTTGCTTACCAATGAATTCTCGTGTTGCATATTTGTGATTATTTACATGCTTCATAGCATATTACTTATGCAATCGCATATTTCATTTATATGTCCACTTATACCATTCCTTCATGCAATGCACGTAATTGAACTAGTACAATCAAAACACTAAACATATATCCATATGCCCAACAAATAATAATAACAATAACAACAGCAATAATAAAAACAACAATAATAAGGAAGAACCTACCACATGCCGGACACGGAGTCGTCTGATCCTAATCAAACAGTTGACAGCATAAATCGTTATTTTAATTTTATTTTTTTGACACATCAGATCAGACTGAAAGTTTTGAGGGCGACAGAACTCATTGGGATGCACATGTAAAAACTTTTCAAAATATTCAAGAAGGTGATATAACCAAAGTGCACTTGCAACCTTCAGAAGTATTTTGGTCTTTAAATTTCCGTAGATTTATTTTATATTTACTCTTTACAGGTGCATGAAAGTGAGAAGCATATGCCCAAAACTGTGAGCTCAATCCAACATATAGAAAGGCAATAAAATCAAAAAGTGATACATGCTCTCAACAAGAGTGCCACAAAAATAACTAGCAGTGATCGACAAATCGAACCAGCCTCGAAAACCGGCCAAGGGCCAGGTCCAAGTAACCAGTAAAGGTCAGTTCAACCGACCTAGCTGAGCAAGTCCTGGGTGATGTAAAAAGTGCTAAAAGAAAACAAAAAATTAGAAACAAAAAAAAATGAAAAGTATATTTAAAGCATAATTAAAAAAAGCCAAACGAAGTTGAAAAGTAGTAAAAAAGTTGAATTTTAAAAGATCTACTTGTGCACAGTGGTATTTTTGAAATTTTCCAAAAAATGGAAAAATGTAAAAATAAGTATTCTTGGCCAAAACACTTTCCAATATTTTCCAAAATGATAAAAAAAATTGAAAAACACATTTTAAACAAATCCCTTATTTTTTGAGATTTTACATATTTTTTATTTATTTTTTAAATGCCCAGCCAGACCACCTAAACCTGCCAAACTGGATCAACCAGTGCCCGGTTCTGGTTTTACCGGCCAATTCCAACTTGGACTGGCCAACTTTGCAAACACTGCTCACTAGCATTTCAGTGACAACCAATGTTAAAAACTTGGACCGACGGTCAAACTGTTCACCCACCTGTTCAGAGCCAAACTGGCCAAATTGTTGAGTTGACTGAGCAGTCTCAGCTAACTCAACCAATCTTTTAAAAGAAAGGCGAGGTGAGGAGCGACTGAGGGGAGGGGGGAGGGCGTATAGAAATACTATGAGGTACAAGGTTGAAAAAATCAGCCACAGGGCCACCTATACAAACTGGCCGACAATCGGCCTAGGTGTAATGTGTAACCCAGGTGGGTGGGTCCACGCGAGCAAACCCAAGGCGCCTACCTAGGCGGGTCTGGGCACCTGCCCACCCCTTAAAAAAAAAATGGAAGCCTCATTAAAACAAATGGAAAAAAAAAAAAGTTAAAGACTATTTAAGGCCCCTCTCTCTCTCTC